AACCACGTGGGAGGAACAAAAGGATGAGACTGACACCTCCCTGAGGAATTCACACTGTTGTGGCTGGAGGGCTTTGGGGACTGGGGTTTTTGTCTGGGAAGATTCTTGCTAGAGGTTGTAGCTAATAAACATAGCTGGACTGAATTTGCATGGTCTCTTGGAGTTCCTTGGGCTAGGCCTGACAGCTAAACATACCAAGTTCCTTTCACTGCTCTTCGAAGGATTTAGCCTCGAAGCCTCTGACCATCTTGGTTGCTCTTCTCTGCACCCTTTCCAGTTCCTGAGCATCTTTCTTGTGTTGTGGCGAGCAGAGCCGGACACAGGATTCCAGGTGTGAACTGACCAATGCAGCCTAGAGCGGTTCTAGAGTGGTACTAACACTTCCTGTGATCTTGACATCATACCTCTATCGATGCCGCCCAAAGCCTTTTGGCAGCCGCAGCGCATTGCTGGCCCATCCTGAATCTGTGGTCTACCAAGACCCCTGGATCTTTCTCACAACGTACCACTTTTTAATGTTAGCCACTTCAATGAAGGCTAGGATACACCTTTTTATAAAAATTAGGACTTGAAACATTCTTTCCACCACCAAGATTTGACATCTCTGCTGTTGCTTTGCTAAACTAAGAAAAAAAACTGAAACCCAAGCATTCTTATTTTTCTTCATACAGATGACGCTGTGATTTCAACGCCTACTTCTGCATCTTTTCCAGCTCTGAATCATTACTGTCCTGGTCGTCTTCTTACTGTTACTATTTGTGTTAATATTTTGCCTTTTTCCCATGGTCTGCTATGACTATCAGCTGTCATGGGGTACTTTTCACCTGACTGTTTTGTATTTCTGTGTTTGATTACTGTGCCCTGGTATCGGTTACTTTTGGAGGTGGTTTAAAGTACCCAGTGGTAGCACCAAGCCAACCTTGTCTGAGTCAGAAACAAAGCCGGGTTAGACCTGGCTATGACTGGGATGAGAGGTCCCCAAGAAATGTCAGGATTGTAGACTAGACCGGGAAATAATAATTTAAAAAGAGAAGGAGGCAGTGTCAAGTCCATACTGTTGCCAAGAAGACTAAGATTTGACCTCGACCTGGGAGTAGGGGTGGTGCTCCTTATCACTTTAAACAATATATTCAGTAAGTCAATTGTGACATTCCCATCATTGCTCCAACTAACTTAGAACAGCGTTGGTGGTTCTGTCCCTCTGATAGCACTGGGGCAACAATCTTAATGGTGCAGGTTAAGAGAGAGGAAAATCTACCTATGTGGTTGCTAGGAGTCGGAAATGACTTGATAGCACGTAGTCAGTCAAGAGACCGAGAGAGAGGGGCTGACCAATGAGGTCCATGGCCAAGTGGGTTGGATCCTGATTCTCCTGAAAGGTCCACCTTTCAACATCCTACTATCAAATTTCTTACATTCGTTTTGGGATGGGTTCCATACAAGCAAAGGCTGCCCTGTAAATTTAGGTGGCAGCATTAAGGTTCTTGCCATTTGATTTACATCCCTTTCCCTGGTCTGCATCTTCCCTGCAGCGCTTCCACACCAGAGACATGGTCCAAGCACAGCCATGACAACATCTATCGGGCTGAGCGAGAGAAGTTGGCCTCCATCAACCTCCGTGGCCTGGTCGACCACATCCTCCATGATACAGCTGAGGACCTGCGCCTGCAGTTTGACGTGGTGAATCAGGCTTTTGCCCAGCGCTGTGAGGAGATGGAAGACACCAAGCACAAACTGGAGCACAATTTACAAAAAGTACGGGCCAGCCTTCTCTGGTTCCTCCCCACTGTGGGGGAACTGATTGCAACTTTGCAGCTTGAGATCCACCTCCTAAGAAAACATGGGAGCAGGTTTTAAAGGATATGGAGAAGGGTTTGGGTGAAGCCCTCAAACATTTCCCTGGGGTGAGGGAGTAGGACAGTTGCACACATGTATCATGTGTATGTGTTTGTGGGAAGTAGCCACGGAGGATCAAACCGAGGAGGGGGATTCTTGTTGACTTCAATCCTCCTTTGTACAGTAAGTTCAGCTGACCTTCAGCTTTGGACTTCAGAAGGAAACTGCCTGTGGACATGGGAGCCATCTTGCCTTCATCTCTAAGGGCTGTTGATACACCATTATTTTTGCCCCCAGACAGTCCTTTTAAAACATCCTCCAGAGAACCACCATCACTACATTTTGAGACTGCCAACTCTGTAAAATTTATGTAATGGGATGTCCAAGTACAGCTGCCTTTGTGATGGTTTTTAACCACCATCATTCTCAATCAACATGGCCACCACCTGACCAGTATTAGGCTGGAGGAGACAAGTGAAGTCTATACCCACCAGTAAAACCAGGATTGATCACCCCTTCTTTCCCTCTGTTTCTATGGATCCTTTCTCCACCTTAATTTAGTTTCTAAGATCTTCCAGTTCTATCCTGACTGTTCTCACCCTGTTCTGTTTCTCCTTCTCTCCATTTTAACGTCATCATCACTGTGGGAATCTGGTAGAGCTGAAAAAGATCAGGCTCTTCCATTGCTTCCATTTCTCTAAGCCATTGTTTCTTTTAACCCTGGTTTGAGGAACGAACCCTAGTAGTTTGGTTTAAACAACAGTAAGCCCATCAACCATGGCTAATAAATCATATGCAATGGCTGGATTGCCCATTGCACAAAGCCAAAACCAGCCCAACCACCTATAGTCCCCCTGTGAGCCTCCTGGGCCAGGTATGATTTTAATATGGATTTCCCCAATCCTGAAATGAAGGGGTAATCTTTGCATCTTTGCAGGAGGGCCCTTTCTGCACTGGTATCTTATATTTCTTTATTTCTTAGATTGGGACCGTGCCTTTCCTTCAAGGACTTAAAGTGACCTACATTTCCCCCCTAAAACAACTACCCAGTGGGGTAAAACTAGAGGAGGGAATGCTTTGTATCCATGTGGGTGGACCCGATCCTTGGCTTCAGTGGGTCTAAACTAGTGCTCTGAGTCTCATGAATAAACTGCCCTTCTGGCTCTTGATCATCTCCTCTGGACTAGAAAACCATGAACTGGTCTGTTGCAGCGGCAGAACGAGACACACTCACTGCCGGTTAGGGATGGGCAGTTCCAACGTTTTTGGTAAGGGCACAGTTGGCACACAGCGGGTGGATGATTGAGCACGGAAAGAATCGTCTGCTTTCAATGGTGGGGTCAGTGAGGCCTCTGGGGCAGGACTTCAGCTGAGTTGCCGTAAAAGCATCCAGAGCTGTTTGGCTTGTTGTTAAGAGCAAATTCAACCATCTGATTGTGGCTTGGACATTGCACGTTTTTTACTATGACATCAAGTTTGCTCTGCGTGGACTGGAGTTCCTTTCCTCTGGTGAAGAATTTAGTCTGCATCAACAGCAGCCTTTTGCTACACCAGAAGCCTACTGCAGTTGCAACTTCTTTTTCCTTGAAACATCACAGCACAGCTTGCTTTCTAGAATACCTTACTGGAAGTATTTGAGTCTTAACCCCCACGTACTTTGATTCCATCCCTTGCAAACTGTTGTTGACCCATACACCCTTGGTGATCAGTTCCTTGTTATTTTTTAAACAACTATCTTTCATATCTTCTTTGAACAGACCCTCCAGGAGATTGGGCACCAAGAGCACAATGTTGAGGCGCTGAAGCAAGCTATTAAGGACAAAGAAACACCCCTCAAAGTAGCCCAGACGCGGCTTTATGATCGTTCCTTTAGGCCCAATGTGGATCTCTGCAGAGATTCTGCCCAGTTTAGGTAAGTTGCTGGGAGTTGGGCAGAATATAAATGCGATGATGATGACGACAATGACGTAAGTCTCAACCTCAGCAACTTGAAGATGTGTGGACATCCACTCCCAGCATGCTGGCTGGGAATTCTGGGAGTTGGTCCACACATCTCAAAGTTGCTGAGGTTGAGAAACACTGATGTAAGGGACGGTTCATCTACCCATCACTAAATAAAGAACAAATATTCCATCTTCTGGTCTTGCTGGGTATTGACGGTGCTTCTGGGTGACAGATGTGAATACCCTGAAGTTGGTACAAGGGGTGTCTGCAGGGTGTGGTCAAAACAATCAAGATGGCAGCCATGACAGTGCAACTGAAGCTCCACTCGTGTTTTATGTGCCTTGCACACACACAAAAGAATGGGTGGAGCTTCAGTTGCATTGAGGCTGCCATCTTGAATTTTTTAACCATGCTCTGTGGATGCCCTTGAGTTGGAAGGAGGGATTCCCTCAGGATATCTTCTCATTGGAGTTGAATCAAGGTGTGGGAAACCAGAGTACAGTCTTAATGAACGTAACTGTTTTAATGGAAGCTGGAGATGCTGCAGTTTGTTGCCCTTGAACTTTCAGCCTTGGACTGAGACCTTTAATGGGTTACCAGAGAAGTCATTGTCTTCTAGAGAGAAGGACCCTCAGGATGCTTGTAACTGAGATGCCAGGCTCTTAATCTTTATCCATGAAAAGTTCCCCTCCCCAAATTTCTCCTCTTCTGGAAAAGGAAGGAAGGAAGGAAGGAAGGAAGGAAGGAAGG